CAATGTCCAGGTATGTCCAAGCAATATATCCAGGTAATTATTGTGAAATTTCATTTTTAACGTTTATCACCAGTATATCTCTAAATAATAAAAAAACTAGCACAAGACATAGTTAGGAAATTTAAATACAAAATCCTTGTAACTGTTATCATTTAATAGTTCACACTTCAAATACTACATTGACTGACTAACCGCTTTCTAAGCATTGACACCAATTATATCCAATTATACCAATTATATTATATTGGCCAGTTTTCCACCAAATGTCAGATTTTTGATTTTAAACCATTTAATAACTTAACTACCATAATAACCAATATGGAATTATTGTTTAAACAAATTATTTTAATAATACTGTACATAAAATAGTTATTGTAGCAAATAGCAAAGCAACAGGTGAGCACAAGATAAACTTCAGCTTTCCATTAAAAACGTAATTCACCAGTAAAAATGTAAAGTATCTTTACCAGTGTTGAATATTCTTTTTATTAAAAAATAAATTTGTGAATTAATTTTTATCTTTTCCTCTGAAGTGCGTTTATGAATACGAAGCAATATCTATTTGCTATATAAGCAATTCATGTGTACTGAAATATATTCTCATGGCACAACGCTACACAGCATACCACACCCTTTGAACAGTGTATCTCGAGTATCTCGAGTATCTCATAAAAAACTATTTCAACACAAACAATCTACATACAAGCAAAGCAAATATTATTTTTTCCATTTGAACCGTGGAGTGGATGCATTATATTTTTTCTATAATCGACTTACGCTTGCACTTTAGTTCCCATATTTATAAAATAAAAATAGTTTATATGTGAACTCTGATATATAATTTTATTTAATTATAAACTATAAACTAAATTAATATAAACAAATAAAAATGTTTACGGTGTAAAAATGAGATTCGCTTTTATAGCTATAGTTATGTGGTGCTACTTTGTGGTAAATGGTAAATTGGAGTAGTGGGAAACTTTTCGAAATTAATTGGAAATAAAATACATATATTTTATAAACTCTTTCTATTTAAATGTAATGCTAGGATTATATTATCTTTAAAATCGTTTGGAGTTTTTAATAAAATTAATGAGAAAATAAGGAGTTTAAAGATTAAAATGATTGTACACTGTAAGATATCTGATGGATGTCAGATGTGGTTGTAGAAATATGAAAAAAATAATTATTGTATATAAGTTAGAATGATTTAAATAGCAAAGAATATACAAGAACAAAATTTAGTTAATTTATTGAAATTTGACTGACCATACAACGCTATTTCCAATATTGCCAAGTACTCATCCACAGCTTTCGATAAAAATAATTAATTGCAAAAAATTATTGTATATAGATATAGATGTAATTAACATCTACCTAAGTAGATCTAAATGTAATCTCATTATTTAATGCTCTGCATCATACCAAGAACGAAATAATCAGATACAGTGGCAACGTTTTAAATTAATGTAATAAAAATTTAGTAATAACTACATAATGGATAATACTTTAGGATAATATTTTATCCTAAATTTTTATTATGAATAATACTTTAACTACATATTCAGATAATACTTAGGGAAAACACTCTATACATCTGAATCAAAAGACACGAACAGATGTTTCACCTTGCATTTCACAGAATCTAGTAATTTTGATTTAGATGAAGACTTCTATTTTATTATATATAATCTATAAAATCTTTTACTAAAAAATTTTATATTTTAAGAAACTAGTTCTATGATTTTAATATCTTAAAATAATATTATTTTAAGGTGATAACATGATATAATACAATATGATATATATCAATGTACCTTTACTGGAGAAAGAACACAGTCTGATATAATAATCCATATAGCTTATTACGAACACTATCTACTTAAAAAGTTCTGTTAGTGTTCCTCTAATGAAGACAACATGCACTCTCAAAATATTAATCCATATACTTTATTATTATTTTAATAGAGTAGTACAGTAGTTCCTCCACCATTACGAGGAATTGTGGAATCAAAACGGCTGTTTAGTTAAGCGAGGAAAACTTATGCCTATTTCGACTTTCTCTAACCCAACAGTAGGAAGACTTAATGTAGTTTACATGTTATAACCTACTAAACATTTGTACTTATCGAACTCGATTATTTATTTGAAAATAATACAGAATAGGTAAGTGGTCATATTTAAAACCTAAATACAGATTTATATTACTCGAAAAATATGAATCAGGTATAACCATTGCATGTTTTTTTTTAAAAATTTTTTAAATGATATCAAATAAGAAAGTTCATTATTAATGACATTCAGAAAAATTTTTAATGAAACTATGTTACAGCACCTCCATTTATTTAAATATTTTTAATAAAAGCCAAACGTATACGAGAGATGAAATCTATTCAATAATTGAGACCTAACTCTGCTTGAGATACATTGTAACGATGAACTACGAACTGTAAGTGTGCTTTATTGTTTTGATCTTTCTACAGACATAACGCAACCTACAATTCAATGAACTACTGAATAGCAATAATGGCGTAAGAAGAACTTAATTACATTCAAGATGAATCATTCCCCGAGCATTGAAAAGCCTTAAGTATATTTTTTTGTGCTCATTCCTGCATAATTACTTTATTTTCTTCGGATTTTTCTCTATTTAGTTTTAAAAATAAAAAAGATAAAAAACTTTTAATTAAGCACTTCCGTTTGGATATTTACATGCATACCAAGAATACATTATGTAGCACTAAAGTGTGTTCGACGTCTTAATTTAAGAGTTCAGAAACCCTTTCACTTGCGGTTTCTTTAGTAACAAAGATTTCAAACTACAAATTGCTCATAATTGCATTAAAGTGCTTGTGCATAGCATATGACAGCATCAGCTTCTGACACAGAACAGTAATTACGTACATTATTATTTTATATTTTTAATGAGATATTTAAATGGTTGGAAACTATGTTTTAGGTTTAGACACATACCTTTGGCAAATCACGTATATGATTCGCATCCAAGAACAATTCCTCCAGCGTACGCGAATAGCGCAATATCTCTTCTGGTACATTGGGCAATGAACAGTGACGTTTGTCAACAAATTCTACTTGGCGATTACAGCCCTTAAAAATTGGAATGCACTTGAACATGTCGAAAATTTAATCGATACAATCGATTCAATACATAAAATATCATTTACTATAATATATACTTATTTTTTTTTTGAATATGCTTTTCATTCAATTTTATAACAATTATTATTTATATTTATTTTTTTGGACAATCAACAAAACAAATTCACAAACATTCGGATTTATAATATATATTTATATATAGTATATATATATATAAATTTATGTATACACGAAAATATATATTTAATATATATGTAAACTTAACACTTTATAATCACAAGAAATTATAATTGAATTTAATACTTTTATGTATAAAATTGTATCATTTTCCCGTAGAGGACCCCGAATCGGAAAGATTATTTTCGGATACGATTTTGGCAACGCGTTCTCAATTCACCGAACCGATTTTTTACTAATTTTATGTCTGTGGTACTAAGCAGGCCGTGGTGTTTTGGCGATTGATCTTTTGTACTCGTGTTAGGTTCTTTAACAAGTTTACCAAATTGTTATGGATAGACTGGTCCTAGATGTTGCGAGAGTGACATGAAAAGAGAAGAGAAATTGCATTTATTATTTATACTATAATTATTTTTAAATTTCATTTTAGAAGATAGAAATTCATATAATTAAAATAATATAAATAAAAGATTGTTGTTGTAGTTCACTGCTTTTTGAAACCTCTGTATTTTAGAAGATTTTTTGACAAAAAATATCAATTCCATGATATAACAAAGAATGTTCAATAAACAAATATTCTAATTCCTTGAATTCCTTTCTGATTCTTTTAAGTTTCTCAGGACATATAAGTTTTCTGATATTGACAATTCGTCTAAAACAAAAAAGTCTAACGAAAACGAGCGACGTGGTAAGAAGTGTGCCAAAAGGGAAGATATCCATATATTTGGAAATATAGATATACTTCCACAAAATATTTTACAATATTTAACAAGTTATAAAAT